CCAGGGGAAGGGACAAGGGACAATCTCACCAGGGACTGGAGCAGGGGAGGGGACACGGGACAATCCCACCCAGGGGAGGGGATGTGGGACAATGCCACCAGGGACTGGACAGGGGAGGGGACATGGCACAATTCCACCCAGGGGAAGGGACACAGGACGATCCCACCCAGGGGAGGGGACATGGGACAATTCCACTGGGGGAAAGGGACACCGGACAATCCCATCAGGGATGGAGCAGGGGAGGGGACACAGGACAATCCCACCCATGGATCCTGACTGGAGCAGGGGAGAGGACATGGGACAATCCCACCCAGGGATCCTGACTGGAGCAGTAGAGGGAACACAGGACAATCCCACCAGGGGAGGGGACACAGGACAATCCCACCCAGGGATCCCAACTGGAGCAGGGGAGGGGACATGGGACAATCATATCCAGGGACTGGAGCAGGAGAGGGAACACGGGACAATCCCAGGAGTGGCACCTCAGGAGGGGGTTTTCCTTCTTCTCCCCCTCTTCTGGGGGCACCAGGGACATTGGGGTGAGGGGAACGATGCTCACGGCCTGGAAAGGGACAGGGAGGTGGCAGAGAGCCTGGGAAAGGTGTCATTGTCCCCAAGGCCACCACCCCAGCTGGATGGCCCCAGGATTCACCTGGGAAAATGGTGCTATGGAGGGGAGGAAAGAAGGGAAAAAGGGAAGGATAAAAAGAGGGATAAAGGGAAGAAAAGAAGGAAAAAGGAGGGGGAAAGGAAGGGAGAAAAGGAGGGGGAGGAGAGGGATAAAAGGAAGAAAATGAGGAAAAAGGATAGAGGAAAGGGAGGGATAAAAACAGGGATAAGAGGGAGAAAAGGAGGGGGAAAGGGAAGGATAAAAAGATGGAATATAGGAAAAAAGGAAGGAGAAAAGGAGGAAGGAGGGATAAACAGAGGAATAAAAGAAGGGAAAGGAGAACTAAAAGGAGGCATAAAATGCAACTGGTTTCTCTTACGGCAGGCTGCTGATCCCTCCTCATGTCCACGCTGGCCTGGCTGGTTTCTGGGATGTCATCCAGGGACAGGAACTGCAGGAAAGCCCCCCCAGTGTCACCCCAGCTGGCAGGGACACCAGGGGACCCCCCTGGAGCAGGACAGGGAGCACAGAGCCCGCCTCACCTCCTCCTCCTTCTCCGTGAAGGTGGCGTCGGCATCGCGGCCGTCGGGGCCCAGGGAAGTGGGGAGCTTCTCCCTCCTAGGGAAAAACAGGCTCAGGATCCAGGGAATGGTGGCCAAGGGTCCCTCCAGCCCTGCTGTGGCCCCTCCAGGTGGGAAAATCCCAAAAAATAACGGGGTTTTCCCTCTCGTTCGTGTCAGTGTGGAAGTCCAAAGGAGCTGGCAGCACATTCCGAAGGGATTTTCCTTTTGGAAAAGGCTCCCTCAGGCTCCTTTGGACTCCTGAATCCCCATGAACCAGAAGGAAAACCAGCCTGGCTTAGGGAGTTATCCCTGTGATGGCATTCCTAAGCCTGGGATGCACCTCCCAGGGCAGGGATGGGAGTGGGGATGGCCCAGGACAGACCCAGGGCAGGGATTCTGCAGGACAAATTCTCCCCTGGGAAGGGAAAATTCTCCTCTGGGAAGGGAAATTTCCCCCTGGGAAGGGAAAATCCCACTCACTTTTTCTTGGAGATGCAGTCCAGTGTCTGGCAGACCAGCATGTACAGGTGTTCCACCTGGAAAACAGCACCTGGAGCTGGAAAAGGGGGGAGCAGCTCCTGGGAAAGCCCTTCCACCCAAGGGACTCCCCCTCTCGGGGGTCAATTCCCTGGGGTTTGGTGCTCTTTTCCCTTTTTTCAGCCATTCCACGGCCAGACTGGGGGAAATCCCTGGAATTGGAGCAGCCTGGGACAGTGGGAGGTGTCCCTGCCCATGGTGGCGCTGGATGGGCTCAGAGGTCCCTTCCCACCCAAACCATTCCAGGAATTTGTGGTCCAAAAGCTCCAACATGCCACAATTTTGTGACAAAATAGGATTTTATATCCCACCCTGGAGAACAGCAAAATTCCTGCTGTTCCCTGGGGCTGCCAACACCTACAAAGGGATCCAGTTTCGGAAGGATGAGCTGAAATTAACAATTAACGACTTGAAGCCAAGGGGGAATTGCGGGGTGAGCCCAGGGACTCGGGGTGGCTCAGGGTCATGGGATGGGATGGGATGGGATGGGATGGGATGGGATGGGATGGGATGGGATGGGGCAGGTGTGAGCTCACCTTCCTGCTGTAGATGCAGGCAGAGCCCTGGATCAGCAGCGCTGCCTCCATGAAGTTCATGGTGGTTTTGCCATTGTCGAAGGAAATGCAGATCTGGTCCAGCTGGGAGGGGCAGGGTTTGGGTTTAGCTTTTACAGAGGTGTTTGAAAAGGTTTTATTCTCTAATCAGTCTCAACAAAGGGTGAGATATAAAAGATTTCAAACTCAGCACTGTTCTACTAAAAGCTAACTTATTTTCTGGTTACAACACCTTGTAAATAGTTTTCACCCTATTAGCTTCTACCACACAATATTGCTGTTAATTCTAACACTGACCACTTAGAATTAATTATATTAATTCTAATATTGCTGTTAATTCTAACACTAATCATTTCTATTTTTCCTCCATGTGGTCTTGCTACCATGCGTCTTTCCCAGTTTTAATTCTCTAAGATTAAGTTTTTTATTAAAACTTAATTAAATTATTTTTTTTCCTTTAAAATTCTTTCGCAAGGCCATATTTTGAAACTTGTTCCTACTTCAATCTCTCTCCCAACAATGCCATTTCTATTTTATGGCTTTAAGTCAGCACACCTTATTTCAGTGTTTGCATACAGATGTATAAAACTGTGAGAGCTTTCTGTGAGGTTTTGGGAATTCTTTATAAATCTGTTCCTCACAGGCAGGAGGAGAGGCTGAGCCTGGCAGGGTCTGGGGTGCCACAGGGATGAGGGGAGGTGGCAGAGAGCCTGGGAAAGGTGTCATTGTCCCCAAGGCCACCACCCCAGCTGGATGACCCTGGGATTCACCTGGGAAAATTCACCTGGCCATGGAGGGGAGAAAAGGAGGGATAAAAATAGGGAGAAAATGAAAAAGGAGAGAGGAAAGGAGGGGGAAAGAGAGGGATAAAAAGAAGAAAAGGAGGGATAAAAGGAGGAAAAAGGAGACAGGAAAGGAGGGGGAAAGAGAGGGATAAAAAGAAGAAAAAGAGGGATAAAAGGAGGAAAAAGGAGACAGGAAAGGAGGGGGAAAGGGAGGGAGAAAAGGAAAAAAAGGGAGAAAAAGAGAGAAAAGGAGGGATAAAAAAAGGGGGAAAGAGAGGAGTAAAAGGAAGAAAAGAAGGGGTAAAAAGAGAGAGAAAAGAAGGAAAGGGATAAAATGAAGAAAAGGAAGACAAAAAGGAGAGAGAAAAAGAGGAAGAAAAATAGGGAGAAAAAGAGCAGGAAAGAGAGGGATAAAAGGAAGAAGATGAAGAAAAAGGAGAAAGAAAAGGAGGGGCAGGGGACACGAGGGTGACCCCGTTACCTCCTCCAGGTACTCCCCGAGCTGGGCAGCCACGTCCACCTCCCAGTTCTTGGTGAGGTCCCGGATGGGCTGCAGCAGGTGCAGGAAGCGGGAATCCACCTCTTCCATGGTGGGATCCCCCTTGCAGACACCCCAAAAGCGGCCTGGGAGCTCCCAGCCCTGGAGGAGGGTCCCTCAGGGAATGAGTGTCCTGGGCTGCAGGGCAGGGGACAGCTCCAGGGGAAGCTCTGCAGGAATCACAGCTCGGCTGGGTGGGAACGGGGACACAGCTCAGGCAACGGGGAATTGTTTGGGCTGGAAGATCCCCACCCCAATCCCAACAGCAATCCCAATCCCGACACTCAGATCCCAACCCCACTGCCAAGCCCAGTCCCGATCCTGACCCTGTTTGTGACCCCAACCCCGACCCTGACCCCAACCCCAGTCCCAGCCCTGGCCCCGATTCTCACTCTGACCGTGATCCCAATCCTGACCTGACCCTGACCCTAACTTCAGTCCCAACCCTGACCCCGACCTCAAACTCAATCCCAATCTGGAACCCAGTCCCAGCCCTGATCCCGCTCCCCAGCCTGATTCTCACCCCAATCCCATCCCCTATCCCAACCTTCACCTGACCCTGACCCCAATTCCCATCCTTAACTCTGCCCTGGTCCCGAGCCCAACCTCAATTCTGATCCCGACCCCAATTCCCATCCCAATCCCTACCCCAACTGCACTCTCAACCTCGATTCCGACTGTGATCCCAATTCCAATCCTGGTCCCCATCCCGACCTCAATCTCCACTGTGATCCCGACCTGATCCCGGTCCCCATCCAAACCTCGATCCCGACCGTGATTCCGATCCCAATCCCGGTCCCGCTCCCCATCCAAACCTCGATCCCGACCGTGATTCCGGTCCCGATCCAAACCTCAATCCCGACCGGCATTCCGACCCCGATCCCATCCCGGTCCCTATTCAAACCTCAATCCCGACCCTGATCCCGGTCCCGATCCCCATCCAAACCTCGATCCCGATCGTGATTCTGATCCAGATCCCAATCCCGGTCTCGATCCCGACCTGATCCCGGTCCCCATTCAAACCTCGGTCCCGACCGTGATCCCGATCTCGGTCCCGGTCCCCATTCAAACCTCGGTCCCGACCGTGATCCCGATCTCGGTCCCGGTCCCCATTCAAACCTCAATCCCGATCGTGATCCCGGTCCCGGTCCCCATCCAGATCCCGATCTCAGTCCTGATCCAAACCTTGATCCCGATCCCCATCCCGGTCCCCATCCCCATCCCGGTCCCCATACAAACCCCGATTCCGCCGTGTCCCCACTGCCCGCCCCTCACCAGCCCCACCTCGTCCCCCGATCGCCGCCGCCATTTTCGTCCTTCCCGCGCTCCGCGACGCACCCCGCGCGCCGTGACGTCACGGCCCCGCTGACGTCAGCGCCGCGCGCCGCCGGGCCCGGGGCCGCCATGGCCGCCATGGGGGAGCTGGCGTGGCCGCGGGCGCTGTTCCTGGCCGGGCTGGCCGCCGTCTACATCGCCGCCTTCGGCTCCCTCTACGTACAGATCCCCGGTACCGCGGCGGGCACTGCCGGGCGGGACCGGGAACGGGCACAGAGCCGGGACTGGGGCGGGGGAACCGGGACAGGGCTGGGGGAACCGGGGCAGAGGCGGGACTGGGGCCGGGGAACCGGGACAGGGACGGGAGTGGGGCTGGGGGAACCGGGACTGAGCCGGGAGTGGGACCGAGGAAACCGGAGCAGAGCCGGGATCGGGGCCGGGGGAACCGGGACAGAGCCGGGAGTGGGGCCGGGGAAACCGGGATAGGGATGGGAGTGGGGTCGAGGGAACTGGGATAGGGATGGGGATGGGACCGGGGGAACCGGGATAGGGACGGGAGCGGGGTCGAGGGAACCGGGATAGGGATGGGAGTGGGGCCCGGGAAACCGGGACGTAGCTGGGAGTGGGACCGGGAGAACTGGGATAGGGCTGGGGGAACCAGGACAGAGCCGGGAGTGGGGCCGGGAGAAGCGGGCTAGGGACGGGAGTGGGACCGGGAAAACTGGGACAGGGACGGGAGAACCGGGATAGGGCTGGGAGTGGGTCTGGGGGAACCGGGGCAGAGCCGGGAGAGAGCTGGGGACGTGGCCGGTGGAGCCGAGAGTGGGACCCGTGGAACCGGGACGGGATCGGGGTCGGGAGGGGACCGGCGGAGCCGGGGCAGGGACAGTCCGTCCCCGTCCCACTGCCGGGCCGATCCCCGTTATCATTTTCCGTATCCCCGTTATCATTTTCCCTCCTCCCGCCGCCTCCATCTCCCGTTTCCCCCTCGTTTCCCTCCCTCGTTTCCTCCTTCCCGGGAGCACCGGCCGTCCCGGCGCGGCTCCGGTCCCCCTGAGCCCCAGCAGCCGCCTCCGCCCGTCCCTTCCACGTGGCTTTGGCAGCTCCTGGCTCGCACCTGGGCTCTTCCCGCCCGCTCCGGCAGGGATCAAGGCCGGGAGAGCCGGGAGGGAGGCAGGGACGGGCCCGGGATGGAGGCAGGGACGGGCCCGGGATGGAGGCAGGGAGGGAGGCAGGGACGGGCCCGGGATGGAGGCAGGGACGGGGCCGGGATGGAGGCAGGGACGGGCCCGGGATGGAGGCAGGGATGGAGGCAGGGATGGAGGCAGGGACGGGGCCGGGATGGAGGCAGGGATGGAGGCAGGGATGGAGGCAGGGACGGGGCCGGGATGGAGGCAGGGACGGGGCCGGGATGGAGGCAGGGACGGGCCCGGGATGGAGGCAGGGACGGGGCCGGGATGGAGGCAGGGACGGGCCCGGGATGGAGGCAGGGATGGAGGCAGGGACGGGCCCGGGATGGAGGCAGGGACGGGCCCGGGATGGAGGCAGGGACGGGCCCGGGTCGCACTCCCGGTGCCTCAGGTTTGTCCCGGCACCAGCCCCGGCTCCTCGGGGGCGTTCCGGGTGGTGCTGCCGGGTTTTTTTTCCCGGGAATGCCGGGCTTTTTTTCCAGGCAATGCCGGGGTTCTCGGGGGAATGGCGGGGTTTTTCCCGGGAACGGCGGGTTTATTCAGGGTTTTCTCCCGGGAATGTGGGGTTTATTGTGCATGTTTCCTGGGAGTGCCGGGTTTTTTCCCAGGAATGCCGCGGTTCTCGGGGGAATGGCGGGGTTTTCCCCGGGAATGTGGGGTTTATGCCGGGTTTTCTCCCGGGATTGACGGGGGTTTTTCCCAGGTTTTCTCCCGGGAATGCCGGGTTTAAGCCGTGTTTTCCCTGGCATGCCGGGTTTAAGCCGTGTTTTCCCTGGAATGCCGGGTTTTCGCCGGGTTTTCCCCGGAATGCCGTGTTCAAGCCGGGTTTTCCCTGGAATGCCGTGTTTTCCCTGGAATGCCGGGTTTTCGCCGGGTTTTCCCCGGAATGCCGTGTTCAAGCCGGGTTTTTCCCTGGAGTGCCGGGTTTAATCCGTGTTTCCCGCTGTCCGCAGGGCTGTACGGCCGCGAGGGGCTGCTGCCGGCGCGGCGGGTGCTGCGGCTGAGCGGGAAGGGGCTCTGGGAGCAGCTCCGCGATGTCCCCACGCTGCTGTGGCTGGGGCCGCGCCTGGGGCTGGACACGGAGCAGGGCATGGAGCTGCTCTGCCTGCTGGGAATGCTGGCGGCGCTCGGGGCGCTGCTCTGCGACTCCATGCGGGACTGCCTGGTGTTTGCCCTGCTCAGGATGCTCTATCTGTCGCTCTACCAGGTGCGGGGACAGCAGGGGACAGCGGGGGTGGTGGCTCGTTCCCTCAGCTCCTGGCGTGCCCAGGGTGCTGGGGGAGGCACAGTGATGGAATCAGGGAAGGATGGGGTGGGAAGGGGCTGTTAATACCCTTCTATTCCAGCCCCCACAGGCAGGGACACCTCCCACTGTCCTGGGGTGCTCCAACCCCGTCCAGCCTGGCCTGGAGGTGCAGAGGGACAAGGGATGGAGGGACAGCACCCAGGGAATGGCTCCCAGTGCCAGAGGGCAGCCAGGGATGGGATCTTGGCAATGAGGAATTCCTGGCTGGGCTGGAATTGCCAGAGCAGCTGGGGCTGCCCCTGCATCCCTGGCAGTGCCCCAGGCCAGGCTGGACACTGGGGCTGGAGCAGCCTGGGACAGTGGGAGGTGGCCCTGCCATGGCAGGGCTGGCACTGCAGGGGCTCTGAGGTCCCTTCCCACCCAAAGCATCCCAGGATTCCCTGGATGCTCCCTGGTGTTGGGCCTGGAGCTCCCATGGGTCAGAGCTGGGTGTGGGGGGAGGAGGAAGAAGAGGAGGAGGAGGTTTCACTTCCCTCTGAAATCAGGAATTAAGAAAGGGCAGATGATCTGCGTGAGCCCAGCCCTCCCAGGGGTGGCTGTTACCTCCCACTGCTCCCGTGCCAGGGGGGCCCAGGGGGTCTGTGCCCACCCCTCTCCCCATGGGGAGGTGCCTGGGGGGTGTCAGACCCCCTGGCTGATCCCCACCCCGCTCCCTCTCCGCAGGTGGGACAGGTGTTCCTGTACTTCCAGTGGTGAGTCAGGCCCCCCTCACCTTTGGGGCTTTTGGGGGGGCTCAGGGCTGGGGAACCATCCTGGGCCCCCAGGGTGGGGGGCACAGAGGGTCCTGGAGGGTGGCACAATGGGGTGGGGGGCTCTGGTGATGGGATAGGGGACATGGGGGGCTGTGGGGTCTGGGGCAAAGGGCACAGTGGGTTGGGGGGCTCTGGGGACTGGGGCAGAGGGCACAGAGGGTCCTGGGGAGTGGGACAGGGGGCACAGTGGGGTGGGGGGCTCTGGGGACTGGGTTGGGGGGCACAGGGGGCTCTGGGGACAGGGTAGGGGACACAGGGGGCTCTGGGGATCGGGACAGGGGATGTGGGGGGCTCTGGGGACTGCAATGGGGGCACAGTGGGATGGGGAGCAGGGCATGGCCGTGTCCCCACCCCACATACAGGACATGCCCCTGTCCCCAGCCCCACGAGCAGGACATGCCCGTGTCCCCAGTGCCCTGTGGGGTGCAGGGTGGGGGTCTCAGCGCTGTCCCCCCCATCCCCCAGGGACAGCCTGCTGCTGGAGGCCGGGTTCCTGGCCGTGCTGGTGGCCCCCCTGCGCCTGCTGCGATGGGGGTCCCCGGCCTGGAGGCCCCACGACGCCGTCACCTTCTGGGCCGTGCGCTGGCTCCTCTTCCGCCTCATGTTCGCCTCGGGCGTGGTGAAACTCACCAGCCGCTGCCCCACCTGGTGGGGGCTCACCGGTGAGGGGGCTCAGCTCTTGGGGAGAATTCTCCAGTTTTAGGGGTTGTGAAACTCATGAGCTGCTGCCCCACCTGGTGGGGGCTCATGGCTGAGGAGGGCTCAGTTCTTGGGGGGCTCACAGGTGACAGGGGCTGCTTTGGGGGGTCAGCTCTTGGGGGGCTCACAGGTGACAGGGGCTGCTTTGGGAGGTCAGCTCTTGGGGGGCTCACAGGTGACAGGGGCTGCTTTGGGGGCTCAGCTCTTGGGGGGCTCACAGGTGAGGGGGGCTCAGCTCTTGGGGAGAATTCTCCAGTTTTAGGGGTTATGAAGCTCATGAGCTGCTGCCCCACCTGGTGGGGGCTCATGGGTGAGGGGGCTCAGCTCTTGGGGGGCTCACAGGTGACAGGGGCTGCTTTGTGGGCTCAGCTCTTGGGGGGCTCACAGGTGAGGGGGGGCTGCTCTGGAGGTTCAGATGTTGGGGGGCTCGCATGCGAGGGCTGCAGCTTTCAGGGTTCAGGTGTTGGGCAGTGCTGCAGCTTTGGGGGGGTGAGCTGTTTGGGAGGGCACACAGGTTTGGGGTTTCAGGTGTTGGGGGGCTCACAGGTGAGGGCTGCAGCTTTGGGGGCTCACAGATGAGGGGTGCAGGTGAGATGAGGGTGGGAAAAACCGGAATTACCCAGAATTGGGGCGAATTTTTAGGCAGTAAATTATGGAAACCCCCCCCAAAGCCCCCTGTATCCCTCAACCCCGAGGTACCCCTTAACCTGGAATCGCTTTTGCCCTGGGAAGCTTTTCCCTGGTTAGCCCCGGTTGTACTCAGCGATGGGAAAAGCCGGGATTGCCCGGGATTGGGGTGGATGTTTGGGGTTTGTGTGCCCCCCAGCTCTGACCTACCACTACGAGAGCCAGTGCATCCCCACGCCGGGCGCGTGGCTGGCCCACCAGCTGCCCGTGTGGTTCCAGAAGCTCAGCGTGGTGGCCACCTACGTCATCGAGGTGGCCGTGCCCGTGCTCTTCTTCGCGCCCCTGCGCCGCCTGCGCCTCTTCGCCTTCTACTGCCAGGTGGGCAGGGGCTCCTGCCTCTGGGGACGGGCAATCCTGCACTTCAGAGGGCTCCTGCCTCTGGGGATGGGCAATCCTGCACCTCAGGGGGCTCCTGCCTCTGGGGATGGGCTGGGGTTGGGTAATCCTGCACCTCAGAGGGGCTGCTGGAGAGGTTTGGGTTTGATTATTTGGGATTTTCTTGGTTCGGGATTTTTTGGGCGTGTGCTAATGATTGTACTGGGTTTAGTGTTGGTTAAATTACTGGTGTGCTCACTTTATTGATTTCAGATTTTATTAAGGTTTTTTGGGTGGTGTGCTAATGAATGTACTGGGTTTAATGTTGGGTAATTACTGGTGTACTCGCTTTTTGTTGATTTGAGGTTTTATTAATTTGGGGATTTTTTTGAATGGTGTGCTAATCACTGTGGAGGGTTTAGTGTTCGTTAATTATTAGTGTATTCACTTTGTTAAATTGGGATTTTATTAATTTTGGGATTTTTGTGGGTGCTGTACTAGTGAGTGTGGTGGGTTTAGTGTTGGTTAAAGATAATGTACTCTTTTTGTAAATTTGGGATTTATTAATTTTGGGATTTTTTGTGTGTTGTGCTAATCACTGTGGAGGATTTAGTGTTGGTTAATTACTGGTATATTTGTTCTTTGTAAATTCAGGATTTTATTAATTTGGGATTTTTTGGGTGGTGTGCTAATAATCACTGTGGTGGGTTTAGTGTTGGTTAATTACTGGTGTATTCACTTTTTGTTAATTAGATATTTTATTAATTTTGGGATTTTTCAAGTGGGCTGCTAATGAGTGTGGTGGGTTTAGTGTTGGATAAGTAATTGTGTACTCTTTGTAATTTGGGATTTTATTAATTTTGGGATTTTTTCGGGTGGCGTATAGTGAGTGTGGGGGTTTAGTCTTGGTTAATTACTGGTGCACTCAGTTTGTTGATTTCAGATTTATTAAGATTATTTGGGTGGTGTACTGGTGGAGTGTGGTGGGTTTAGTTTGTGTTAATTATTAGTGTACTCATTTTTTGTTGATTTCAGATTTTATTAATTTTGGGATTTTTGGGTGACATATAATGAGTTGTGGAGGGTTTAGTGTTGGTTAATTACTGGTGTGCTTGCTTTTTGTTAATCCAGGATTTTATTAATTTGGGGATTTTTTGGGTGCTGTACTAGTGAGTGTGGTGGGTTTGGTGTTGGTTAATTACTGGTGTGCTCGCTTTTTGTTGTGAGATATGATTAGTAGGAAGGTAAAGCAGGTTTAAAACTTCAAAAGGATATAAAGAAAAACGTGTCTGTGACACCCCTGGGTCTCTCTGTGCCAGGGGGGTCCCCTCGGGGGCCTCTCCAGGGCTGGGGCTGGCTCGTCCCCACAGGCACTGGGAGGTGAGGTGGCCACTCTGGAGCTGCTGGTTGGGCTGTGCCCAGTGTCCTCTGTCCCCCTGGCCCTGTGACACCCCCAAACCCCCCCTGTGCCCCCCAGGTCCTGCTGCAGGTCCTCATCATCCTCACGGGCAACTACAACTTCTTCAACGTGCTGACCATCGTGCTGGCCTTCTCCCTGCTGGACGAGGAGCACGTGGGGCCCTGGCTGGGCCGGCCCCGCAGGAGGCCCAGCAATGGTGAGAGCCCCAGGCTGGCACAGGGGACACTGTGGGAGCTGCCACACTCACCCCAGGGCAGGGGCTGTGCCCATGGGACACCCCAGCTGTGAAATCAGGGAAGGATGGGGTGGGAAGGGACCTTAAATCCCATCCCATTCCAGCCCCCCATGGGTGGGGACACCTCCCACTGTCCTGGGGTGCTCCAACCCCATCCAGCCTGGCCTGGAGCTGGACAGGGACTGGGGCCAAGGCCTGCAGGGACAGCACCCAGGGAATGGCTCCCAGTGCCAGAGGGCAGCCAGGGATGGGATCTTGGCAATGAGGAATTCCTGGCTGGGCTGGGATTGCCAGAGCAGCTGGGGCTGCCCCTGCATCCCTGGCAGTGCCCCAGGCCAGGCTGGACACTGGGGCTGGAGCAGCCTGGGACAGTGGGAGGTGGCCCTGCCATGGCAGGGGTGGCACTGCAGGGGCTTTGGGGTCCCTTCCCACCCAACCCATCCCAGGATTCCCTGATTCCTCCCTGGTGTTGGGGCTGGAGCTGCAATGGGTCAGAGCTGGGTGTGGGGGGAGGAGGAGGAGGAGGTTTCACTTCCCTCTGAAATCAGGGAATTAAGGAAGATAAATAATAACAGATAAATGATCTGTGTGATCATCCTTCCTGGCATTGCTGTCACCCCACAAGGAGCTCCCAGCCTTTGGAATTCTGTGTCCCAGTGAGGTACTGCTGCTCCTGGGCCTTTCCCTGCTCCTTCCTTTTCAACACTGGCAGCAGTGGGACCCCCAGCATCCCTGGTTTGGGGGGTCCTTTCCAGGCCGGGCAGGGGACAGGTGACAGTGCAGGCAGGGCCCTGTGCCCGTGGGTGACCCCAGGGCTGTGAGGGGGGTCCCAGGCAGGCTCTGAGCCCCTCTGTGCCCCAGGCTGGCCCCCCAGCCTGGGCTCAGTGCTGGGCACGCTGCTGGAGCTCAGCACCTACGGGCTCCTGCTCTGCTGGACCGTGCACTACTTCAGCCTGGAGATCGACTGGGACAGGAAACTGCTGGACTCCAAAGTGGGTACGTGCCAGGGCCCAGCCCGTACGTGTGCCCCTCCTGGGCCCAGCCCGTGTGCCCCTCCTGGGCCCAGCCCGTGTGACCCTCCTGGGCACAGCCCGTGTACCCTCCTGGGCCCAGCCCGTGTGACCCTCCTGGGCACAGCCCGTGTACCCTCCTGGGCACAGCCCGTGTGACCTTCCTGGGCACAGCCCGTGTGCCCCTCCTGGGCACAGCCCGTGTGCCCCTCCTGGGCACAGCCCGTGTGCCCCTCCTGGGCACAGGGGCTGTGCCTGACCCCGGGCTGTGCCCGACCCAGGGCTGTCCCCAACCCAGGGCTGTCCCCGACCCATGGCTATCCCCGACCCATGGCTATCCCCGACCCAGGGCTGTCCCCGACCCAGGGCTGTCCCCGACCCATGGCTATCCCCGACCCAGGGCTGTCCCCGACCCATGTCTGTCCCCGACCCATGTCTGTCCCCGACCCATGTCTGTCCCTGACCCCGGGCTGTCCCCGACCCAGGGCTGTCCCTGACCCATGGCTGTCCCCCCTGCAGCCTTCACCTACCATGAGTTCACCATGTGGCTGCGCACGGTGACGCTGCCGCTCGTGGGGGTGGCCTCCCTGTCCCTGTCCTGGGAGATCCTTGCGGCCATGTACCGGTGAGTGTGGGGACACCGAGGTGATCCCAGGGGCGTGGGGGACACTGGGGTGATCCCAGGGGCGTGGGGGACACTGGGGTGATCCCAGGGGCGTGGGGGACACCAGGGTGATCCCAGGGGTGTGGGTGACACCAGGGTGATCCCAGGGCTGTGGGTGAAACTGGGCTGATCCCAGGGTTGTGGGGGACACCGGGGTGTCTCCAGGGCTGTGGGTGAAACCAGGGGTGTAGGGGGACACTGGGGTGCCCCCAGGGGCATGGGTGGAATTGGGGTGCTCCCAGGGGCGTGGGTGGAATTGAGGTGCCCCCAGGGGCGTGGGGGACACTGGGGTGACACCCTGGGAGCTGGGAAGGGGTAGTCCCGCTCCAGGATTCAAGCTATCAGATTTAATGTGGAGGGGTTTAACCCCCCCAAACCGGGGGGGCTGAGCCTCTTTGCCCCCATAACCCCCCAGTTGTGCCCCCCCAGCTGTGCCTGCGTGCGGGGATGCTTCTGGAAGCTGTGGGCCACCCTGCAGTGGGCCATCATGGCCACGGCCACCGTGGGCCTGTTCGCCGTCAGCCTGGTGAGGCCTGGGGGCCACGGGGCTCTTGGGGACCCCCAAACCCCCCCAGGCCGTGACAGAGCCCCCGTGTCCCCCCAGGTGCCCTTCACCTACATCGAGCACGAGTCCAACGGGAAGCTGTGGCCCGGCATCCACCAGATGTTCGGGGCCGTGGAGCGGTTCCAGGTGGTCAATTCCTACGGGCTCTTCCGCAGGATGACCGGCGTGGGCGGCCGGCCCGAGGTCATCCTGGAGGGCAGCTACGATGGGCACAGCTGGACGGTGAGCCTGGGATGGGCATGGCTGGGCACAGCTGGATGGGGAGCCTGGGATGGGCACAGCTGGATGGGGAGCCTGGGCTGGGCACGGGAATGGGCACAGCTGGATGGGGAGCCTGGGCTGGGCACGGGAATGGGCACAGCTGGATGGGGAGCCTGGGCTGGTGTCCCTGTCACAGAATCCCGGGATTTTGGTTGGGAATGTCCGTTTCCTGGGCTGAGGTGACTCGGGGCCCTGGCTGGGGCTGGGTTCCGGAGGTGTCCTGTCCCCCGTTGCCATGGCAGCCGTGGTTCCCGTCCCCAGGAGATCGAGTTCATGTACAAGCCCGGAACGTGAGCGCGGCGCCGGCCGTGGTGGCCCCGCACCAGCCCCGCCTGGACTGGCAGCTCTGGTTCGCCGCCCTCGGGCCCCACCAGAACAGCCCCTGGTTCAGTGCCCTGGTGCTGCGCCTGCTGCAGGGACAGCCCGACGGTCAGACACAGGGACAGGGGACACCGGGACAGGGGACACGGGGGCTGGGGGGCTCTGGGGACAGGGGACACAGCGGGGCTGTGGGCTCTGGGGACCGAGGGTATGGTGGGACCTCCCCAGCATTGGTGCCACCATGGTTTTGAGGTGTTCCCTGTTTGGGTTCGGGGTGTCCCTGGATGGATTTGGGGTGTCCCCGCAGCCTTGGAGGTGTCCAGGTTTGGGTTTGGGGGCTGTCCCTGTTTCGGTTTGGGGGCTGTCCCTGGCTGTGTTGGGGCTGTCCCTGGCTGTGTCTGGGGTGGGTTCAGGCTGTCCCCAGGTGTGTTTGGGTTGCATTTGGGCTGCCCCCAGGTGTGTTTGGGCTGTCCCCCCTGTGCCAGGGCTGTCCCCGGGTGTGTTTGGGCTGTCCCCAGGTGTGTTTGGGTGTCCCCCAGGTGTGTTTAGGCTGTCCCCCCATGCCAGGGCTGTCCCCCCTGTGCCAGGGCTGTCCCCCCCGTGCCAGGCTGTCCCCATCCCTGTCCCCTGTCCCGCAGTGATCCGCCTGGTGCAGATGGACGAGTCCCGGTACCCGTTCCACGCCCGCCCGCCCACCTTCCTGCGGGCCCAGCTCTACAAGTACTGGTTCACATCCCCCAGCGAGGGCAGGTGAGCGGGGAGGGGCCCCTGTGCCCCCAGCCCAGCCCTGGGGGAGAGGGTTTGGGGTCACCTGAGCCCCCTGTGCCCCCAGGCCAGGCCCAGCACCGTGGTGGCAGCGGCAGCACGTGCAGGAGTTCTTCCCAGCCGTGTCCCTGGGACACCCCACGCTGGAGTCCCTGCTCAGCCAGCACGGCCTCAAGGTGGGCACGGGGTCACCCCTCCCTGGCTCCTGACCCCCGTCCTTCAACACCCCTGGCCCTCCTGCCATGATCCTGACCCCCCTTCCCTTACCCCCACTCTCTCCCTGACCCCTGTTCCACTGCTTGTGACCCTTTCTTCCTTCACCTTGATCCCCTTCGCTCACCTTTGGCCCCCCAAGCCCCCATCCCTCTCCCCTGACTCCCTTTTCTGGCCCCTGATCCCCCCTTCCCTCACCCCTGAGCCCCCATCCCTCCCTGTCCCTCGGCCCCCTGACCCCTTCCCTGTCCCTTGTTCCCCTGGCCCCCTCTTCCTGACCCTCTTCACTTACCCTGACCCCTTTCTTTGCCCCTGAGCCCATTCCCTCACCCTGATCCCCTTTATCAGCCCCTGATCCCCCCTTCCCTTACCCTGACCCTCTTCTCTCCCTGTCCCCTGAGTCCATTCCCTCACCCTGATTCCCTTTTTCAACTCCTGGCCCTTTTCCCTCACCCCCACTCCCTTCCCTCCCTCAACCCCCTTTTCTCCCCAGGACAATCCCCCCCTGACCTATTTCCTCCAGGACAGTCCCCCCTGACCCCCTTTCCCCCTAGGTCAAGCTCCTCTGACCCCATTTCCCACAGGATAATTCCTCCTGAACCCCTTTCCCCCCAAGACAAGACCCCTGACCCTGTTTGTCCCCCAGGACAAGCCCCCTGAACCCCTTTCCCCCAGGTCAAGCCCCCCTGACCTCTTTTTCCCCCCTGACCCTGTTTCCCTCCAGGACAAACCCCCCAACCCCATTTGTCCTCCAGGACAAGCCCCCCTGACCCCCTTTTCCCCCCTGACCCCTCTCCCCC